AACTTTTAATATTTTTTTAAAAGAGAGAGACAGAGAGAGAGAGAGAGAAAATTTTAATATTTTATTTTTTAGTTATCAGCGGACACAACATCTTTGTTTGTATGTAGTGCTGAGGATTGAACCCGGGCTGCATGCATGCCAGGCGAGCGCGCTACCGCTTGAGCCACATCCCCAGCCCCGACAATATCATATTTAAAGAAAATTCTGTATTTAACATAAAATGAGTAATGATGGGAGGAGCAATGAATCTCATTTGTTTTGTTAGTTTTGAGTGACAGGGAATGAACCCAGGGGCACTTAACAAATGAACCACATCCCTAGCCCATTTTATTATTATTTTCCAAATTTTGAGACAGGGTGTCACAGAGTTGCTCAGGGCCTCACTAAGTTGCTGAGGCTGGATTTGAACTTGCAATTCTCCAGAGACAGATTAAATAAATCATTCATGGTAATAAAGTGGCAAAGCTGGGAATTGAACCTATTCTATCTGCCATTAAAAGACAATGATGCTGCTACTATACCATATAATCTAGTCTTTTAGGATGTCCACAAGCATGAATCAAAGACTTTACTAAGACTAACACATTTAGGAATCTTTATCAAAGTATTAAGAAGAAACATTTTAAAAAGCTCAGTGATATGTGTGAAGCCTTGGGTTCGATCTCCACTACTACCAAAGAAGAATGAAAAAAAGTCCATGTTGAAGAAACATTTGTTAGAACAAGACATGAGTAATTTAAAATCTAAATACAAATAGGCCCTGAAACCAAAGTAATGACATTCCTTACTTTAAAATTTCTTCTCTGCACTGCCTCTGTGTGGCAAAACAAGCTATAGCCCACATTTTGATTTCAACTCCTGTGTGGAACTGTTTTCCTCGCATATCCCATACTCCATGGCTTGGTGTTGCCACTGTCCGATTCTATAGAAGAAAGAGAAATAACTTGGCGAAAAAGAACAAAAACTTTATGGTGTATCTGATGAGTCAAAAATAAGTATTTCAAATTGCTGAATTAATATAAATCTGATATTTTATAAGAAACTGGTTATTGTAAATCAATATTGTTTATAATTTTAATATTAAAAAAACCCCAAATTCCACTAAATTCTAGCAAGGACATTTACTTTGAAATTAAAAAAATATATATTGTTGGAATAATGAAAAACTTTCTAAAATTACAGACTTAGCTATGATAAGTAGCTAAGTACTTTGTACTTCTTACAAAGTACCTATATTTCATTAAAAAACCAAGAGGCTTTACCCGTCCTCCATACTGGAGCATAGGTGCTGGAAGTACACGTCCGGTTACATGAGCCATTTCATCTCGAACTTTAAATTGAAACTCCTGAACAAATGGATCTGTTTCATAATTTGCACTTCTTACCTAACAACAGGAAAAGTTTGTAGTTACTCTCAAAATTCCCCTAGATCCTGTATTTTACTCATTAAAGCCCTTTTTTATTTCTTCTTTTTCTTTTTCTTTGTCATCTATGTTTTGCAATAGGTCTTAACAATGGTTCCCTAACTGGAGAATGGAGAATCTTAGTTTGGTGATTATGGTCATGAATGGATTGTAGGAAGTCTGTGAAGCCCTTGGTAATTCATACAAAATTTAAATGTATATATTAGATTGAATAATAAGATTTTAACTATTATTGATCCATGAAATTAAAAAAATATTTATTCTTAAGTTTTAGGTGGACACAATATCTTTATTTTACATTTATGTGGTGTGAGGATTGAACCTAGTGCCTCGTGCATGCTAGGTGAGCACTCTACCACTGAGCCACAACCCTAGCCCCTGATCCATAAAAATTTTTAATGATTGAACCTAATATGTTTTGAGAGGGAGAAATACTTCACCTTTAGTTCTCTGATTACAGAGAACCCAGACACATATTACTAAAATCTATTTCCTATAAAGTTTGATAGAAATATTTAAAATTTTAAGACTTTTAAAAACTACTTTATGATTTATATAAGTTTACTTCAGAATTTTCAGATAAACAGTACTATATTATAAAGTTTATTTAATGGAGTACACTGGAGACATGTAAGAAAGCCAGAATGAGTTACAGGTTATAAATTTTTCACAACATATCTTTATATACAAAGAGAAAATTCAGTATTAAATTTCACCATAATTCATGCTTACAGCATACATATTAGCTTTTTTCAAAACATATTCACTTGCTCTCAGAGTGAAGGATAAAGTTACAAAAAAAAGATGGTATTCAACTTCAAGTAGAAATCTTTTAAAGAACTGTATAATCTAAACATGTGAACAGAATCTCCATATAACAAGAAGGAAAAGCAGGCTGGGGTTGTGGCTCAGCAGTAGAGCGCTCACATGCAAGGTGCTGGGTTCAATCCTCAGTACCACATAAAAAAAAATAACTAGGGCTGGGGATGTGGCTGGGGATGTAGTAGAGTGCACACCTAGCATGCATGAGGCACTGGGTTTGATCCACAGCACCACATAAAAATAAAAAATAAAGATATTGTGTCCTCCTAAAAACTAAAAAAAAAAAACTTAAATTAAGGTTTTAAATTTTTTTTAAAAGGAGGGAAAGTAATTTTCTAAAATAGGCAATAATGTATCTTTTTCTTCAAACCTAACTGCCATTTATTTCTGTTGTGTGTTGGTTTATCTCCACAGTGAGGTCATAAAAAATAACAACTACTATTTACCAAGACTTACTATAACTTGTTTATAGCTAAGTTCTTTTTTTTTAGAGAGAGAGAATTTTTTAATATTTATTTTTTAGTTTTCGGTGGACACAACATCTTTGTTTGTATGTGGTGCTGAGAATCGAACCCGGGTCATATGCGTGCCAGGCGAGCAAACTACCACTTGAGCCACATCCCCAGCCCGATAGCTAGGTTCTTAATAATTAATTTTCACAATTATCTTATGGCTTTAAAGTAGGTCTTTTATAATCTGTATTTTTCAGAGGATTAAAACTATAGCTTAGTAAAGTTAAATGACTAGATGATAAAATTATAATATAATAGTAAGTAAAATAAAAATTTAAGTAAGTGGAAAAAGCAAAACTTCAAACACATGGCTGTTAGGCTCCAAAGTTTTCTCTCTCTCTCTCTCTCTCTTTTTTCTCTTTTTGGATACTGGGGATTAATCTCAGAGGTACTCGGCCACTGAGCCACATCCCCGGCCCTATTTATATTTTATTTAGAGACAGGGTCTCACTGAGTTGCTTAGTGCCTCACTTTTGCTGAGGCTGGCTTTGGATTTGTGATCCTCCTGCCTCAGCCTTCCAAGGTGCTGGGATTACAGGCATGTGCCACCGTGCCTAGCCAAAGTCTGTTCTGTTAAGCACTACACAACATTGTCTTTCTGAACAGTTAAGCTGTAATAAATAATTTAGAATTGCTAGTTATTGAGACTTTATAGAAATGTCTCTTAATGGTTTAAGAAAGCTTTTAAAATCTTATAGAATTAGAGAAAATTCTAGGATGAGAACCAGCATGCATTTTCCTAATTAAATGTCACATAATAACTTTTATGCACTCTTTACAAAATTATAAGGAAAAAAATGGTCTTTTTTTTAATTGGCTTACAAAATAAAAGAGCCAGTTCTGAATCACTTTTCTAATAATCTTTAACATTGTTTTCGAAAATGTTACTGAGTTGTTCTGAGGAATATTCGAATTTCCAGATTTTTTTCTTTGCCTAAACAGTTTAAATGGTACTTAAGGGTAGAGTGAGTTAAGGTCCAGCTGGCCTTTTATTTTAAATTTTGCCTATTCTATTAGCTTTATTTATTTTTTTTAAAAAAATAGACAGGGCCAGGGATGTAGCTTAGTGGTAAAGTATTTGCCTAGCATGTGTAAGGCCCTGTGTTCAATCCCAAAGCCTAACAACTGGACACACACACACAGATAAACTAGGCATTGTCATAATTTCAGCTACTTAGGAGACTTGAGCAGGAGGACTTTTAAGTTTGAAGCAAGCCTGGGCAATTTAGTGAATAAAATAAAAAAGCCTGGAAGAGGGCTGAGGATGTAGTTCAGTGGCAGAGCTTGTGCCTAGCATGTGGAAGATCCTGGGTTCAACCCCAGCTATCCCCTCCTGCAAATAAGGACAGATAATAGGGCATTTTTTAATATACCTTTATTTTATTTATTTAGTTTTATGTGGTGCTGAGTGAGTGTTGAACCCAGTGACTCACATGTGCTAAGGTGAGCACTCTACCTTCAGACCTGTTCCCAACAAGAACAACCCCAGTCCCTAATGGGTCATGTTTTTATTGTGTATAAAATGATAGCTTGATACAAACAAACACATACACACATACATTGTGGTACCATCAGTTTTATCAAATGGTAACTCCTCCCTCCTCCTCCACAATGAGACATGTGGAGACACCACATGCTTGAAGCTTTTATTTCTTTATTTAGACTGTATAGTTGCCAGTCTGATACTGGAAGTGAAACAATCCTAGAATGAGTGTTAAGTATTTCTTTCCCCCACTCTTTTAGGTGGTTTCCAGTTCACTAAATTAAAATATTAGTTTTGACAGAACTTGTTTCCTGCATCTAATTAAAGAGTCTAGGGTTAAATAAGAAGGACCTACTAAAGTTTACCACCACCCAAAACATACTCCTAGTTATTCATGATACCTTTTAATTCTGATGGCAATAAGATATGGGCTGGTAAGAGTATGCTTTTTTAGAAGCTATCCTAACATGTTTTAAATTCCCATTTTCTAGGGTTAAGAACTAACCAATCTGCTAATTTCCTCTTGTCTATCTGGTGCAGATCTTGCAGTTGCCTTGATCATAGTTGAAGTCTGATTGTCTGTTAGTTTCTTAATACATCGTTGTCCTGCCACAATATTACAGACCTACAAATAGAAAAAAGTATTATATTAGATAGATGTATAAATATCTTGTTAGTTCTCAATGCCAGTTACATGTAAAATAAAAATTTTAAATCTTCATAATTAAATTGCTTATTTTTAATATCATGTTAAATAAAAAAGTAGCAAACAAAACTACTTTACAATATTATTATAATTTGGTAAAATGTACACAGGATAAAAAGATTGAAAGAAGTATTGGTTAGACTAGAGTGGTAGAATTATAGTTCACTTTTCTATATTCTTTCATTTAATAAAAACCTAAAGTAAAATTTAAGAAGAGTTTAAGTTCCAAAATAGATAGCAGAGTATGAGGTAAGTTACAGGACATAAAAGACCCCAAAAGAATGATGAAGAGGAAGATATTCATGAGCAGCAAAGAGACATTACTTCCAGCGGCAGGTAGGTATGTTTCTGCTCCTGCCCCACTTGCAGACAGGGAAGGTGTGGGTACTTCAACTGAAGAGTGTACTTTTCTCTGAAATACTGAGCTACTGTTCTCTCCACAGTTTGGCCATTTTCTAGCTGTAAGGGAAAGCTGGTGGGAAGGGGAGGGGAAAAAAAAGAGATATGAGACTCTTATCCTACTACAAGCCAGCAAAACTTCCAACCTACTACCTAGAGTGAGCTGCCTCGTATCACCACTGCTTTTCTTACGTTTGATGACTGGCAGGCCTTCTTGTTACATTACAAACACGGTATTTCCGTCTCATTGTTCCACAATGAGTCACTTCAACCTTCAGACCTGTTCCCAACAAGAAAAATGCAGGTTACAGAATTGTCACTGTAAAATATTTACATTTATATAGCCTGTTCACTACTATAAAAACTTAATTCTGAGCAAACAAAATCTTATATATATATAATGTGATATTAACATAATTTTATATATAACATTGCTAATAATGGATACTACCATGGTATACCTAATTTCAAACCTTTTCTCTACCCTATCAAGCTCCACTCATAATAAATAGAATCATAAAAATTTCAAAGCCCAAAGATCAAGGGACAAAGTTCTCCATTAATAAAAGCCCCATTTATAATAAATTTGGATAATTATGTTAGGAAAGAGAAGGAGGAATGAAAGAGGAGGTGCAGTAATTCTCAAGATAGTTTATAACCTTCAAAGTATGTGATATTTAAATTGCCCAATCTTAACATACTGATTGAAGATCAGATTTCCTAAAGCTCAAGAAAGAAGCCCTTCAAAGACGTATAAAGCAAGAAAGAAAAAATGCCAGGCCCTTTAAAAAGAAATGTAATGATCATTTTATTGAAGTATAATATAGTGACACAGTACTTTTACCATATTTAACTAGTAGTAATCAAATGCAACAAAAATAATTCTGAAACCAGGTGATTCCTACCTTCTTATAGAATCAGTGACCCCTTAGAGTATCTGATGAAAGCAATAAACTTTCAGAAAAATGTACATACACAAAATTTAGCTATGATTTTAGGCATTCCTGGATCCCTACAGTCTACCTACAACTGGGTGGGGGTTGGGGGGTATTCAAGGATCCAAGGCCAACTCTAGAAAGTAAAGAAATAGGCTTTAAATCATCAGCTGAAAGTCTTTGGGGTGAATTTTAAAAAAAAATTTTTAGTTGTAGATGAACACAATATCTTTATTTTATTTATTTATTTTTATGTAGTGCTGAGGATTGAACCCAGTGCCTCATGCATACTAGGCAAGAGCTCTACCACTGAGCTACAACCCCCGCTCCAAATTTTATTTTTTATGTATCTTAATATTTCTTCCTGCACCTATCAAAACTCATACTGAACAACGAGTTCTGAGTCTCAAAAGAAGATTTATTTTTTGCATCTGTCTGTAAGTCTTTGTTTCTTTGAGATGAATGTTCTTAACTAGTGCTGTCAATTAGAATTTTCTGAGATGATGCAATATTTTACATCTGTGCTTAAAACGGTAATCATTAGTAATGTGTTACTAACCACATAAAATGTGGCTTGTGTTGCCTGAAAAACTGCAATTTTAATTTTATTTAATTATAATTAATTTAAATTTAAATAGATATATCTCACTAGTGGCTACCATATTGGCCAGTCAAGTTTTGGAGCCATTAGAGGAAAGTTAACAAGACACATAGTGGCCATTGGTTACAGATAAGCAACTCCATTTCTAAAGTTTGGCTTAGATTCCAGGGACAAAATCTAAAAAGGGGTAGATGGAGGACAATTTTTAGATTCCAGACAGAATTCTTGGTTATTCCTTTTTGTATTATTTCTCTTTTATATTTGTAGTTCCTATAGTGCAGTGGTTCTCAACTGAAGGCGATTTTTTGCCTCCCATCCCCAAAGAACATTTGGCAATGTCTGGAGACTTTTTGGGGGAGCAGGGTGTGATGGGGACCAAAAGACGCATCTTGGCAAGCATTCTACTACTGAGTCACATCCATTCCCTAGGGAGATGTAAAAAAAATTGGGGGGGGGGATATTTTGGGATTTAACCCAGGGGTACTTACCACTGAGCTACATCCCAGCCCTTCTTATCTTTTATTTTGAGTCAGGGTCTCACTAAGGTTTTTAGGGCCTTTGCTAAGTTGCTGAGGCTGGCTTTGATCCTCCTGCCTCAGCCTCCTGATTACAGGCATACGCTACCATGCCCAGCTAAAGGAGACATTCTAGTATAAACTGGAAGTGCTATTGGCAACTAGTGAGTAGTTTAATATTTGGGATACTCCTAAATATCTTACAATGTACAGAACACCATCTCCCATCCCAAAAAAGAATTATCCAGCCCACAATGTCAATAGTGATAAGTTTGAGAAACCCTGCTACAATATAATTTATTTTCTTACTAACTATAGCACCAAATATAAAGTTCACTCATATTAAATAATATTTTCTTCTGACAGGAACACAAATTAATATGTTAAATGGATACAGTGTTCCTGTACCAGATTGGTATGGATTTTTCTTGAAAAGTACTCCTAAATGTATCTGTGAGAAGTACTTTTTCATTATAGCTACCTTTACAAAACTAAAAGTTCTGATCAGTTACAGAATTTCCTAGGCATTATGTTATAAAGGAGACTACAAAATACAAGGGAAAGCCTTATGAGAAGGAAATACCAATACAACAAACTAAGCAAGATATAACAATATATTTAGGGGGAAAACACCAGAAGAGTTTAAAACAAATTTCAGTTATTTTCACTACATAGCAATTTGTTTTTGTCTTTCCCCTGAATTAAAAAAAATATTAATAACATTCTACATACCTACCATAAAAGCTTTTACCAAAAGTAAAATGGTACTTTCAAATACATATGGCAGTTTTACCATACATTTTTCTCAATATTTCTACTGTTTACTATGAATTATTGGGCAAAAAACAAAAAACAATCAAAAAAACCCTAAGTTATTATCAACATTTGGGGAGAAGTTCAACAGGAATAAAATGAATATGGTAAAAATATTCATTATAGTACAGTTTGTATCAATATTTAACAGCTACCATCAAATCCTCATGCCAACTAAAAATGAAATCCAAATAGCAGAGAACGTAAAACTCTTGACTCTTGACTTAGTAGGGTAACAATACGTCATATATTTAAAAGAGCCTTATAAAAAAAAAAGCCTTCTTCGTTTTGGAAAAAAAAAAAAATCATTGGTTTGTCAATCAGATTCAGCCTAGACTGTTTTTACCCCAGATCTAGGATCATAGGTACCTAAGAATTAGAACAAAATCCAGAGGGCTAGCAAAAAGGTGCAATTTAAAAAAAATGGACTAGATAATTCTCTGCCCAGGTCCCCCCCCCCAAACCCTCCATCCAACAAAAAAATTCTTTTGGCTTTAATAAATATTTAACCTATAAACTTGGCTTTACCTTCACTATAACATCAACTTTATAATGCTTTCTAGTCATTTTTTCAGTCATTTCTTTGGGCCCCTGAGCAGTTGAAGTTAAGATCGAGTCCATGCTCTCCGGGCAGCGGTTGAATCCTTGTTCTGTACAGATCTTGTATTTTCTGTGATAGAGTGGTGATATGAGTTGATTGCATAGTTACCGCAAAATAATGTAAGTGACTTCATGATATCAGAGGTGGTAACTAAGCAGCAACTCCACTGGAAACCATGGCATTTAGATGATCACATATATAATGGCAGGTAATGCACTAACCTCCTGACAAGGCTAACTGTGCAGTTAATACAGATTATGAAAGGACAATGGTATGGTTACAAAATAGTTATATTTAACAGTTTCTTATTTCAGCACTTATATAATTTGAGAAAAATGGATGCTTATTTTCAAAGCAGGAAGAATTTTCCTTTTAATGTTTTATTGCAATGACTATCTTTTTCCTGGTTTCTGAATGGCAAAGAATGAATGATTACTGGAGCAAGCAGGATGTATTCAGCTACTCTAATTGATTTGGGGAACTGAAAGATGTTCAGTGAATAAACTTGAATGCTTCATTCAAACCACAAGCTGAAAATAATCTGCAACAAATAGGTACAATCTTAAAAACAATATCATTATTTCTGGCTATTTAAGATGCACATTTAATATAAATAGAATTTATGCTACTCATTCTGATTAGAAAATAATTTTTCTTCATTTCTAAATAATAAACTAAATACAGTGGAGTCATATCTTACATAAGGATTTGGTTCTAAAGTTATGAGCAAGGCAAGAATTGTACATAATCAAAATTACTCTTAAAAACCCCTTAAATTTCTGATAAAGTACAGCATATATGGGTTTGAACACAAAATGTATACACATATCTAAACGTATTTAGAACGGTACACATATGAAGAGCAAATATATAACTAATGATAATCTAAGATTTATATATAAATCTTAGATTATCATTAAAGTTATATATTTCTTTTTCTTCTTGTGAGACCAAATAGAGATAAATTTATGTAAGTTAAATGTATATACAATATAACACCACTGTATAAATTTTAGCTACTCAGTAAAATAGGCAAGCAACAGTTAGCTCTGTAATGTACATTAAATAGCTAAGTTACAACTGTAGAACAACATATGAAATAGGCTAGCCCCTTATTCATAAATTTTCAAAGGAATGAAATTAAAATTATTAAAAAAATAAGGAAGTCAATATATTAGAATATGTTCAAATAATGATTTTAGCAATATTATAGAAGCACTTTCTCATGAGACAGTATTATCCCTTTCAGATAGTAAGGAAAAGTATTAACAAATTAGCTGGTATCTATACTAGTTGCATTACTTGGAATATTTTTCATTCAAACACTACCTAAGATAAACTTAATTCAACATTGTATAATTTATGTATATTTTTACTGCTGTTACATAAATAGATTTTAATTATAAAAAAAAACATTTCAATAAAGGCTGGCATAGCCATACATTTTATAGTCAAGTTGTTCTAAATGCTAATGAATTCACCTTTTATCTCTTTGGTGAATTTTACCCGGTGAGAATCAGTCAGAGGTCTTGGTTGTTCATCAATATTGTGAATATCAAGAACTTCACACATGAACTGAATTACAGGTTGTGCTTTGTAGAAGGCAGTGGCAGAAACTAAGGGAAAAAAAAAAACACAAATAGTACAAATTAATGTTTCCCTAAAAAATTCAGAAACTTTACCTTAAGCTCTAGGCTAATTAACTCTGTAGAGTTAAAAATGAACACTTTTACACATATATGTGTGTGTATATGAATGTGTATATAAATATGTAGATATATGGTTATTACATGCTATAAAGGCATTAGAGATATGATGAAACATATGAGCTACATATTATCATGTTATTTCCTATTCAAAAAACATGATGTTAGCTGGGCATAGTGGTTCACGTCTGTAATCCCAGTGTCTCAGGAGGCTAAGGCGGGAGGAGGATTCATAGTGAGTTCAAAGCCAGTCTCAGCAAAAGTGAGGTGCTAAGCAACTCAGTGAGAACTTGTCTCTAAATAAAATACAAAACAGGGCTGTGGATGTGGCTCAGTGGCCAAGTGCTCCTGAGTTCAATACCTAGTACAAAACAAACAAACATGCTGTTGGTTGAACTAAGTGTAAACTTTATATATACATACACATAATAGTTTATAACTGATCTTTATTTTTATTGATGTTACATAGATTTTAATTATAAAAACATTTCAATAAAAGGTTGATATATCCATGTATTTTATAGTTAAGTTGTTCTAAATGCTAATAAATTCACCTTTTATCTCTTTGGTGAATTTTACCAGATATAAAGCTTCCTGAATCTGAACAAAGTCATTTATGTAAATTCAATTTCACTTAATAGGAAGTCCTGGCTAGCATAGTAAAGCAAGTTAATAGAAATAAAAGGTAAACTATTATACATATAAAAATTTCTGCAAATAAGCAGCTTCAGTTTGACCTCTATGGCACAAGAACAAAAAGGCCATATACTATAGCTTTTATAAACTATTATTTCATCATAGATCACTGAATCATTCCATTCTTTAATTCATATACAGAGAAGTGTGTAAGGCATGAGACAAAGTCTGTATTGAGGCAAAATCTATATTGAACAAAGGTTTGTATGTTCTTTGGCATAAACAAGGTAGTTTATTCTTTCTTTTTTTCTAGTAGTACTGAGTGAATCCAGGGGTGCTCTGCCACTGAGTTATTACCTTTAGTCCTTTTGATTTTGAAACAGTCTCACTAAGTTGCCCAGGCTGGTCTTAAATTTGTGATATTATTACTGCCTCAACCTCCCGAGTTACAATTGATTACAAGTGTGTGCTACCATACCATGCTTTCTTTCTTTCTTTTCTTTTTTATGTGGTGCTGAGAATCAAACCCAGTGCTTTGCATATGCTAGGCAAGCACTCTATCATTCAGTTACCACCTCAGCTCTATCATGGTACTTCTTAGACAAAAAATTTCTATCCATCCTACACTGTTTATTCTAGTGAATTTCCCATTTTATAATGATTAAAGAAGACAGTGGCCTTAAATTCAAGCTATAGACACAAAGGGGTATCTGCCCGATATTATTACAACATTCAACCAACATGATTTCTTAACCTTAGGTTTTGAAACTAGAACAGCTTTACCAATGGTTAGACTACCACCACTCATTTCTTAAATACTGATGATTTTTATGATGCTATAAAGGCACTAGGAATACAATGAAAAGTAAAACTGAAAGAGATAATAAGCTACATGCTACCATGTTATATATCAAAAAACATGCTCATAGGGCTGGGGTTGTGGCTCAGCAGTAGAGTGCTTGCCTAGCACATGTGAGACAGTAGATCTGATTCTCAGCACCACATAAAAATAAATAAAGATATTATGTCCATCTACAACTAAAAAAAAGTCATTTATATAAATTATACTTAAAAGGATGGACTGAAATCAGTGAATACACTTTAAAATATATGTATTTTTTAAAAATAAAGGTTTTATGTCCAACTATAATTAAACACACACACACACATTAAAAAAAAACATGCCCATGCTGGGTGTGGCAGTGCATGTCTGTAATCCCAGCTATTCACGAGACTGAGGCAGGAGGATTGCAATTTTGAGGCCAGTCTTAGCACCTTAGTGGGATCCTGTCTCCAAAAACAAAAACAAAACAAAACAACTACAAACATGCTCAAAAGAGCTGGGGATGTAGCTCCATGGCAGAGCGCTTGCCTAGCATGTACAAGGCCCTGGGTTCAATCCCCAGTACTGTAAAAAACAAACAAACAAACAAATATGCCCAGGGCTGCAGTATGGCCCAGTGGTACAGCGTTTACCTAGCATGTGTGAGGCACTGGGTTCAAACCACATAAAAATAAATAAAATAAAGGTATTATATTCATCTATAACCAAAAAATAAAAAATAAAATAACATGCCCATGGTTTGTTGAGATAAGTGAGTACTTTTTATGTACTGCTCTTCTCTTCCTCTCCCTAGTTTAAGATTAAATGTCTTCTATAAAATGTTCCTTACCTTTGGAAGCATATTTATAAAACAGTAATTTTCTCAGGCTATTTGTAGGTTGGTGAGGTTGTGGTTAGTTTTTAATTTTTATCAAGAAATTTTTATCTTTAAATATTATTTTTTTATAGTATGCACATATTATTTTTCCTTTTCTTTTTCTTCTTTTTTTGGTACTGGGTATTGAACTCAGGAATACTTGACCACTGAGCCACATTTCTCAGTCCTATTTTGTATTCTATTTAGAGACAGGGTCACACTGAGTTGCTTAATAACTTGCTTTTGTTGAGGGTGGCTTTGAACTTGCAATCCTCCTGCCTGAGCCTCCAGAGCCACTGGGATTACAGGTGTGTGCCACCACACCTGGCTATTTTTCCTTTCTTTACCACAGAAATATATGGTTTCATCATAAAAACTTTAATCAATATAGAGATGTACATAGTTAAGACTCTCCCCAGACTGAACCTTCTTCCTGTAAGAATCTAATTTTAATTAGATATGTATACATTTTCTCCTTTTGATATATACTTATAAAGATAAAAATGTAAATACAATTTTTAGGTGATATCAGATGATAAATGCTCTAAGCTCATTATTTCATTAAAAAGTTAATAATAATATGTCTTAGAGACCTTTTTATGTCAGTATTTTGTTGTTTTTTTTTTGGTACTGAGGATTGAACTTAGGGACACTCAACCACGAGCTACATCCTCAGCCTTTTTGGGTCTCATTAAGTTGCAGAAGCTGGCCTCAAACTTATGATCCTCCTGCCTCAGCCTGCAGAGTATCTGAGCCAGGCACGGTGGCTCACACCTGTAATCCCAGCAATTTGGGAGGCAGAGGCAGGATGTTTATAAATTTCAGGTAAGACTCAGCAATTGCTCTTTATAAAAGGATGGACTGAAATTAGTGAATACACTTTTGAATTAGGAGTGAATTTCAATAAACAAAGGTCTGTTTCTGTTCTGCTTGGTTGAATCTTTAACATTTAATAAAGCTACATATATATGCATTATATTCCTTCTTTTGCTTCCCCACATTAGTTAATTTTTACTGAAAATTAAAAATCTGTTTAGATTTTTAAAAATCTATTCATTATATCATATTAACATATTAAAGAAAATGATGATGATAATGTTCCTAAGAAAGCATTTGATAAAATCCAGCACTGGAGCAAATATTCTTACTATACTAAGACCAGAAGGGAACCTTAATCTGATCAAACTTATCTACCAAAACTTTATGGTAAATTCAACTTCATTTAATAGAAAATCTTGGATAGCACAGTAAAGCAAATTAAGAGAAATAAAAGGTATAAAGGTTTTGGAAAGGGAAAAACAAAACCATTATACTTCATAATATGAGTGCCTATATAGAAAAACACAAATCTACAGATTAAAATTACAGAATTACCGATAGTTCAGAAATGTTGCGCTATCTATGATTAACATACAAAGTTAAATTATATTTATATACCTTAGCAACTAATTTAACATGCAGTTTTAAAAAGATATACTTATAATCAAAAAATTTAAAAAGGTGTTTTTGGAATAAAGTCTAAAGCAAAAGATGTGTAAGACCTGTATAAGGTATCTTATTTTTGGAAGATTTTATAGATGATCTAAATAAACAGAGTAATATAGCTTATTCATGTAAATTATCTCTGAATTGATGGGTAAATTCATAGGAATTTAATTCTAATAGGACTGAACATATGCAATAGGATGCAACCCCTTCTGCCCACCCTATCATTCATCAAGATTTGTTATAATTCTTCCAATTAAGAAATTGTGAGGATACACACAGAGACTAGCAGAAGAGACTTAAAAGCCTACCACATACCACATGCAAAACAAAACATGCATTCAAAGAACTAAATATGAAGAGGAAAACAAATATTTGTTGAAAATGTAGCTTTATGATCTTGCCAGGTACAGTAGCGCATGCTTGTAATCCAGCTCGGGAGGCTGAGACAGGAGGATCAGGAGTTCAAAGCCAACCTCAGCAATGGCAAGGTGCTAAGCAACTCAGTGAGACCTTGTTTCTAAATAAAATACAAAATAGGGCTGGGGATGTGGCACAGTGGTTAAGTGCCCCTGGGTTCAATCCCTGGTACAAAAAAACAAAAACAACAACAACAACAAACAAAAAAAACCCAAAAACCCAAAACAACAACAACAACAACAAACTTTATGATCTTGGAAGTAAAGAATAATTTCTTAAACAAGATTAAGAAACAAGCTAGGCATGTTGACGTGTCTATTTAATCCCAGCAATTTAGAAGGCTGAAGCAGAAGGATTTTTAAGTTCAAGGCCCATCTGGTCAATTTAATGAGATACTGTTAATATCTATCTACATCCCCAGCCCTTTTATTTATAATAAATAAAAGGGCTGGGGATGTAGCTCAGTGGTATATAGGATCCCTTGGTTCATTCTCCAGTACCAAAACAATACAAGACAAACAAACAAATAAAACCCCAAAATGACAAACCATGAAAACTGTCAGAAAAAAGACACCAATAAACAAAACTTAGAAAAACAAAGAGATTAGTAGAGAATATGTATAACAAATTATTACAATCTAGACTACATAAAGAGTTCCTATAAATCAA